AATTAATCCAGAATTTTAGCGCTCAGAGCCGAATCGGTTTCAGATTTAAAATTATTACAGATCTCGAAAGCTGATAAAGTGGTCTTTCAGAATCAGATAAAATAGAATAAACAACACTTTTTTAGCCACTCAGACCCACACAAATACACATTTAATACTAAATATACAATACTAAATAAAGGATGACGGTATTCGAGTTAGATATGCAGTACTGGATAGATAGAGAAACTTTTATATTTCGGCAGCAATATCAATGAAAGCTGGGTTCCAACCGTAGAAATTAAAATCCGAATAGAACGGATCCGAACAACATTTGTAAAAGTTTATAATTTAGCTCTCCAAACCTAGGCGGCCCATAGCTTGAATCAGTATTCTTTTCCGTTATTTCCTCTTTGCTGCTTTATTTGTCCAATTTGGGATTTTAAGATTTTCTAAAAACGAAAATGGAGAACTGATGATCAACTTCTGCACGAATGACGTACTAAGAATAAACAACACATTTTTTGAGCACAAAGACCAACACAAATATACATTTAATAACACCCGTGGACAAAGATCTATGATAGATTATGTTATAACCAACAGAGATATACATCCATCGAAAATAATCGACGTAAGATGCCTCAACTTAGCAGATGTAGGTAGCCACCATAGCCTAGTATTGTGTAAAATAAGAATCATCCTAAATACTTCACGCCCAAAAGAGCGGCGCCAACACAAACAAAAATCGTCGAAGGACTAAATACGAAATTCACGGAATACTTATACAGAAAAAGAATATCAGAGAAGATCGCTGGGAATGACATATTAGAAAAGGACAACATCGAGAAAAGCTGGGAAAAACTCAAAAATACATAATTAACGCAGCAACAGAATCACTTGAAGAGAAGAAAGTAACGAACAATAACGTATCAAAAAAGAAAACATCATGGGAAATACTACTCTCTCAAAGTGAAGACGATTTACAACGTATGCTGCACCAATTTAATATAACCACCAGACAATTTAACATGTTAATTCCCAAAAAAAAGACAAAATGCATGGTTACAACAGCAAATTTACTAAGATGTAAATTGGAGTAGGAAGGTCAGATAGAAGGAACAAGTGATGGAGTTTAAATATCTAGGCATCACATTATCTAGCTACGGAAAGCTCAAAACTAAAGTGGAAGATCAAGTGAATAGAGCAAACAGAGCTGCAGTCTGCCCGAATGAAACAATATGGAGAAATAAAAATATCGGAAAAGAAACGAAAGGCAGAATTTACAAAATAGTCATCAGACCAATAATGACATACGCGGCAGAAACACGACCTATCACAGAGGACAAAAAGATGAAAACACTTAAAAAATTTGATGGCAGGTTACTATGGGACAGAGCTGAAGTACAGATATACGACGTAGATGCAAGGTGGAGAACATCAAGAACTGGGTAAAAAATAGAAGAGTAGAATGAAACGATTATATAAGCCGAATGACAATAAATAGAGTAGTAAAGACGGCAAGAGACGGTTACTCAATAGGAAGACGATAAGTAGAAAGACCACGAAAACGATGGAACGACAACTTACTGGAGACACAATGAAAAACAGACAGAGTCATGTCTACATAAAAAGAAGAAGAAAAAGAAGAGAATCAGTGATTGATTTTGTGATATATAGTGAGCGACTCTGAGATACTCAGCTCACTTTTAATGTTAAAATTCTGGATTAAAAGTTTTATTGCTCGCCAGTATCGCTAAAAAATTCCTAGTCGGTAGATCACAAAGAATTAGAAAGGCAGACAAGTAGATCTCGAGTCCGATTAAATTGGCCACCCCTGAATTAGTGGCTATTTTATAAATACTGCTTATTAATGATTTTTTGTTTCTTATTTTTTCTTCTCATGACAAAAATTGATAAATAAAAAATCATAAATCATTTAAAAAATGTGCAGTTGTTAAATGGCTCATTTCTAAATAAAATTTAATTGGCTTAAAATCGAAAAAGTTTCATTTTTTTCTTGCTCTAATGTGACGGAACGATCTTCCGTATATGTATACACCGAGTCTCAGAAGAGCGATCAGCCAGCTAAGCTAAGGCGAACCGACCAGCAATAGCAGCAGCAATCCACAAAAGGGCAAATTAGCCGGGCGCGAATGGCGAACGGTCGAGGCAGCAGCAGCCGGCAGCCGGTGTCTTTTTCGCCGTTGCCTTTTGCCTAACAAAGATAGGCATAAATCACGGTCGCGGACATTAATTAGGCCGGAGACACGACGTAATATGTAGATGCACGCTTAGATTAATCCGCGAGATCGGCTAACTTGCCTGTGCCGACGGCCAAAGCGACCGGGACACTGACCAAGCTGTACGGTACACACCCGGGATTATAATTTACACTTTTTCTATAGATATTTTTTCGTTATAGACCAGTCTCTGATTTTGAAATTTCTAGAAAAGCATTTTAGATTTGAATTTAGTCACAATCGAAAACACCCATTACTTCAAAGATGGGCTGAATATAATTACTAACAAACTAACGAAGTTTGTATATTGCGAGTCTATTAATTTACTGTTATAATAAAAAGCCGTAGATTTCAGAGCTCAACTATACAATATATTTTCATCAAATATCATTTGAATGTATCTACTATTATTAAAGTTGATGTATTAAAATTTAGGTTTAACTATCGAAAAATAACAAAAGCATGCACATATATCACTGAAATTCTTGCTTTAAAGGTAAATCTCAAATTTAATCAATAAAGCATGCGATACAATACTGCAGAGATTTACTTTATATAACAAATTGTGCATCTGTTGCATCCAGCAGATCTCTAAATCCAAACTTTCCTCCGCTGATGCGAGTTTTGTATTATTGAAAATAACGTCTGTGAATACAGTCGACGAGAGATAATAGTTTCTAATTCGTAATTTTGTTAGTTTTACCAAAAGTTCGGTGTAAGATCGTACTAAATGAGTTTAGGTGTTTTGGGAAATACAATTCTTACAATACTACTTCGTATAAAATGCATAGAGATCAATACTATTTGTAAAAATAACACAAAGTTTAAATTTGCAAATACCAAGATATTTACCATTCTTCTTCTTTTTTATCGTTCGTTCATAGGGTGGCTTGTATGGCAATGATTTTCAAGTTATCTACTGCTGCTCTAAACAGCAGAATTGCTGTATACTCAAACTAACTTTTAAAATTATATAAATATGCATAATTTTTCTTAGATTTATGAACTTATTTTCCTTTAGTAAAAAAGTATTCATTAATAATTAAGCATTAACACTATTGTTGACTAACAAGATAAAATTAACATCTTTACAGTTTTATTTCTACTATGGACCTTTTTACGAAAGACTGGATTCCGTGAAAACTACAGCATAAAAAATATAGAGTCGACCAATAGTCTGAATTAGAGCCTAATTATGTCTTAAATAGATGGTCCTAATAATACAAAAATAGGGATAGGCCTATTTGACAACATGAAGATTTAAAATTTGATGTTTGTCACGTTGCCAAATTTACCATTTTTCTGATATCATTAGTCACTTTAGTTTTTTATATACAACACCCTGTATATTGTACTTTTATTAAAATCTCCACTTGGATACGAGTTGAACCGTATATAATATTGTCGATTTTATTTAGTTAAAAATATCTTAAAAGATAAAAGTCTAAAAACACCTAATCGTCTCAATACTTTTTTTGATTTAAACTATTTTTGAAAATAATAACTAAAAGTTAACTACATTGTTAAATGAATGTCTGCCCAAGCAAGTGTTGTACATGTCTTCCGTTGTTAATTTTACAGTATTCTTAACGATGGTAGAATGCGTCTATAACACGTCTATACGTTTGAAATTGGCGTCTAGAAATTAATAAGGATCATCGATAATTAATTCTTTTGCCTGACCTCTGCAACACCTGCTGATTTAGTATGCTACATTTTAAGTATTTCCAATAAAAATAATATTTATTATTCAAATCGGGTGAACGAGGAGGCCATACAATATTACCTAGTCTACCAATCCATGGTCTGGGAAACGTCTGATCTCAATAACACCAAACATTTACACCATAATGAGGTATCCAAAATTATCAAATGTGTATCAAAACTTGTTGATAGTTGCTATTAACAAGTCCTCATAGATACTTTTTCTAAGGACTATGCAGTAAATTCCATCGATAACTTAAACATCCTAGAATATTATCAGTAAAAATGTAACTTAAAATTAATTTAACTATATTAATATAAAGAGTTTTTACCCATACATGTGTGGCTTCAAACAGGTAAACCTACAAAAGCACTTATATGGAATAGTCATTTCGAAAAGTTTCTGTGACGTAGCCCGAAAGGGTTATTTTATATTATTATACCTTTTACAAGGAATTTTGAAATAAAATATTATATAGGGTAATGGAACCAATCTTGGATACTTTAAGAACCATAAATTTTGTTTTTCTACTGGTAATCTATAATATAAAAATAAATCGCAAAATGTGTTGGTAAGCGCATAACTCAACAACGCATGGATCAATCTTAACAATTCTTTTTTAAAATGTTCCTTAAAGTCTAAGAATGGTTTTTACGGCATGAAAAATTCAAATAATTTTCGGAAAAACCCTAAAACACCCATTTTCTTTTTTATTTTGAACTTTATTGCCATTCAATAAAGTTTATATTACATTACAAGGACTCACGTTGTCTAAACAATGTAGGTGGGTTCCTAACGTCGAAGATTTAATTTGCACTTTATTATCGCTGCACAAAGTTCAAATTCAATCAAATGTATGTGTGTGCGCGTTCGTGTGTGTGCGTGTTCGCGTTGGAGGATCTAATGCGTTCACACAAAAGTGATAATATCGTGAACCCGACCAAATTGAAAAGTCAAAAAATGTAAGAGCTATAGATTTGATTGGCCTCGCAATATTCTTTCTTTTGTTTTAGTTTCGGAACGCGACATAAATTGCATCAGTTTTCACGTCGTTGCATCTGTCAAACAAACCGATGTTTGTTTCCAGAAGGTGTTTCCAGATTGCTCAAAATTACAGAAACCATGATTGGTTGAGCGAACGGGCTATATTGGCTGCAAAAAACATAGATGTAAATGAATTAAATTTCAAAATTCAAGAACAAATTACAGGCGAATTGAGGATATATAAATCAATTGATTCGGCTACTAACCAAGATGATGTAGTCAACTATCCGCCTGAATTTTTAAACTCGCTGGATTTACCAGGATTGCCACTTCACAATCTTCAATTAAAGGTTGGATCGGTAGTTATAATGTTGAGAAATATCAACCAAACCGCGTCTTTGCAACGGCACACGGTTAGCGATAAAAAAATTATTGAACAACGTGATAGAAGCAACTATACTGAAAGGAAAGTATAAAGGAGAAGACGTTTTGATACCACGCATCCCAATGATTCCGACTGATATACCATTTGAATTTAAACGACTACAGTTTCCAGTGCGACTTGCTTTTGCTGACCATAAATAGGTCCCAGGGACAATCATTAAGTGTTTGTGGTATTAATCTAGAAAACCCATGTATTTCACATGGTCAATTGTATGTTGCCTGTTCCCGTGTTGGAAAACCATCAGATTTGTTTGTATATTCACCAGGTAATCAAACAAAAAACATTGTATATCATAAAGTACCACAATAAAAATAAAACAGATTTTTGTTAATAATTATGATTCACTTGCTTTACAATAAAGAGATTACTGAAAATACTTATATACGTTTTATTTTATTATTCTTTATTACATCGGTTATTAACTCTATGTTAATAATAATAATAATAAATAATTAATTATCTCTATGTTTTGTCATTAAAGCACCCACTTTATAAATATTTGTCACCTTTAGGTTTTCACTATCCCTTTAGATTATTTTTCAATCAGGTTTGAACATTAAGTTCCCCTCTTCATTTGAAGCCCTCTGGCACACATCCCAGTCGGGGTTTTTAGTGGATCCAAAAGGTGGCCAAAGTTCATGGAGGCGAAGATACTTAGGTCACCCGAGCTGACCCTCACACACCGCCATATCATCATGGTGACGGTTCTGTTCAGAAGAATTAAAGAAATAAACTGCCAAATTCCAAATCTATTTAACAGAACGAAGTCTGTCGGGTCCGCTAGTTATTAATAAAACAGTATTTTGCTAAAAGTATATTGTTGCTCAGATTGTCATTTAATCATTACACTAATTCATTTTTTTTATGACTAAAATGATAAAATCAATATATAATAATGTATTTGCAACAATATAATAAACCAATGGCGTATATCAATTTCTGTTAATTGGTCACGATAACTGGTAAGTTTCTCTGACGTATTCAAATATATATTGGAATGTTTGTCCAGAACTACTTTTTAGCAGTGGTATTTTCGGTAAATATAGTTTTTCTACTTAATCACTTTATTAACTTGGTGACTGTCAACTAAACATTGTTTCGTTACAAGAAACCTAGCTCTTGCAATATCGATAATCCACCTAACAATGCGAACTTCCTCATCTGCAGTGAGGACTGTTGGAAGGCCAAATCTCGTACTTACAGTTGCAATTGGCATATCCATTTTAGCTACTGATAAAGCTTCTGCCATTTGAGCCATGGTAAAATTCTTATGCCCCTCTTTATCTATCATAAATAACCAGCTGTAAAATATCGAAATTATTTGTACACCAGACACCAGTAATGGATATTTTCTTATCCATTATTAGACATTCATTTATTGGACGTATCCAATACTATATCTCCTCAACATATAGACTTCCTGTTTTTATTAGAAGACAGCATTTTTATTTCTATGTAGTTACCAATAATTTCAAATAAAAACGTATATGACCTTAAACGAACACCCTGTCCATTTTACAAATATACTTTTAATTGTAGATCCAGTACTCGTATTAGACACCCAAAGTAAATCTTTTTAAGGACAAAAATAACAAAAAACAATACACATTAAACTATATACCTTTACTATTGATTCACTGGAGTAAACTCAATACAACACCAATTGTAAGTTTATGTCTTGGAGCCAAAACTGACATGTGCTAAACTATGTTCACCTTAATACAACTAGCGGTCTCTGCATGAGGCAGTTGCCACAGAACAAAGAAAACAGATTTCTATTAAAGGTTTTGCGAGTTTGTAAATTACCGTAAAATGTTTCTTTTTATTTCATTTTGTTGGATGCCCATTACTGGTGCTCTGTCCAAAATTGGTTATAGTACCCTACAGAACTATTAATATGCAGATCCTAATTTCTAACCATGAAAACACAACGGGGAAGATCAAGAACAAGATTAGATAAAGCGACAATCTCAAAAAACATGAGCTAAAAATATACAAACAATAGCATTGGATAGATAATGGGATAAACATGAGGGTATGATACACGTGGACCTATAGTATTAGCGAATATAGGGATTTATCGTAAGAAGGTATCCAGATGTGACTGTCGAAAAGACTCGCCTGTACAACTTAAGAGATAAGACTAGACTTTCACCCTCTATATAAAAATGTAAGGATCATAGCTTTAAAATGTCCTACGTTAGTACGGGGTCAGCATCTGAAGAGTGCTGACTTGACTAAAAATCTAAAGACTTTGAGACAACGCCATCCATAAAAATGCAAACAAGATTTTAAACTTACATTAAATATGATTATAACAAAGTATGAGTTCACAGAAAACTAAATTACACAAATCAGAAAAGATTATGCTCTTAGGTATTGTAATGAGAAACACATGGTAGAGAAGGAATATATTTTACTGAGCTCATCAGTAAATACTTCTAAATCAGTTTAGAAATATCAGTAGGCAGATGGCACAAAGAGAAGAGAATATTATAAAGCCAACAATGAAGAGAAAAGCTTAAAAAAGTGAATTTTAAAAGTATCCGATTCTTAAGTTTAATTGTCAAAAACCACTATATTACAGTCAAAATCAAAGAAAAAGTGCAGAATTTACTCTTATTAGCTAATATATTAATAAAACTAAATTTCCAATTAAAATAAAAAAGAACGATTTATCTAAGAGGCCTGGCTGTGTTTTTCGTAAAAGACTTGCAAAAGATTTTGATTAAAACCTGGCCTGTAAATTTAAAGCCAGGGATTATAATTTACGGATTTTTTCTAGTGATGTTCTTTGAAAGTCAGGCCGGTGGAAATGTATACAGTGGATGACAAGCCACTAGCCTTTTAAGAATAATCAAGGAACGTTTAGCCAGAAACCCATCCTCGAGAAATTTAATCCTCGGAATATATGGTTATTTGTAATTTTACGTCGCTGTGGAATTGCTCTTGTCAGCGGGGTGCGACGACAAAGTTTAATTAAAGTGGTAAGTCCGATTTGTATTCAATGTGCGACGTGTAGCTGAATACTGTTTATTAATTATACTAAGGAAAATATGTACCTACATCACATATGCAGATTTAAGTTGGTGCGAGAAAATCGTATTGGCATTAATTTATCTATGAGCAACATTATAAAATAAATACCGAGCACAAAATTAATGAACTGCTAGTTAAGAGTAGGAAAAAAATATTTTTTTTATTTAAAATACTTAGTCCACATCAATCACGCAGGGTTATTAGTAGAATTACAAACACAATGGTTTTAATATGATTATATTCACTAGTATAATACAGTTGATTCGTTAAATAATTTAATACATTTAAATTTTTATCCATCAGGATGGATCTGAACTGAAATTCCATGCATTCTTCTTTGATTTTGGAAACATGGGCAGTCAAGCAGGATTTTCACTGTCAATGAGGTGGAGCAGTTGTTGGAAATTGGTGGTGAATCTTTACTACTTAAAAATTTGTGTGTCACAGCGGTATGGCCAATTCTTAAACGGTCTATAATTTCTTGATCTCGTCTACTTGTGGGGTTATTCAAAGAGCTGTTCACCTTTAAGTTGGTTGCTGAATTTTCCGAGTAATTTTGCCAAATGTTATTGCAATGAACTTTAAACAAATGCTTCAAGTTACTATAGCTTACTATAGGTTACTATGCTTCTAAAGATAATCTATTGCTACTAAATTATAACCAATATAAAGATTTAAAAAATTGTTGAGACTTTAGCACTCATTTAAATATTAACGTATACAGATATATAAATTCTAAATATAAAATTCATTTGAGTAACATGACACTAGCTAGAAAAATATTAGATATAATAAAATGATGAATCTCGAGGTCAAGGATGCTGCTTGTAATGGCGATTTAATTTCAAATTACAAAGAAATCGAGAAATTTAAAAATATCCTAAAAAAGTTTATTCGTCGAGATTTCGGATACCCCATATAGAGACTTAATGTAAAAAAAAACTAATAACCCTAATTTCTTGATACGTCCTTAATTAACGAAAATGTCTTCTATTTATATATTTATATAACCGGTATTTAGGCGCACACGCCTTCGGTAGGATGTATGAGGAATATCAGCGAGCCGCAAGCCCTTATCTCTTGCCGTACTGCTCCACCATAGGTCGATCAGACACCAACATATTCTAGTCTAAGCCGCAGATTCATTTAGAATTTTAAACTGCTGCGTTAGCCTTTTTTTTCTGTACACCGAGCTGGGGATCGAACTCACTTCCTCTGAACACTCGCAGTGAAACGAATGAGAAACCGGCCGCCCAGCACGCTTGACTATCTGACCGACTGTCCTCTATTTACTATTCTAAAAATATCTTTTCATTATATAAAAGATAAATTTTGAACGATTTCTGCCTCACATAAATTATGTGTATTATTTCCAAGAGGAAGAACTAATTATATTTCTAATAAAAAAGTAACTCTTTTTCAAACTCTCCAAACTCATTTAGGTAAATCTTGTACCCTCTGTAAACTATTAGAAAAAATGACCAACAGGCGACTAGTTTAGTATCCTGAAGAACAATATTCTTCATTATGTTTAATCAGATGTAGAGTCTAATCAAATTACTACTGATAATTTAGTTATTTTTCAAACAGATATAGCAACTGTCTAACAAGACATAATCGCTATAATTTTTGACATTTTTGACATATTACATTATATACAAAATGTAAATCATGTTGTCTTTAAAACTGATTTTGAATCAGTTCTCCTGAAACATCAAGACGAAGCAGAACTAATCTGACTTGACAATGGCAAGTGTGACCTTGCCGAAACGTCGTCAAAACAATGGTTTTTCTAAAAACCAAAATTACTTAACGCGGAGTCAAACCCGGAAAACAACGGAAATCACATATAGATCCCGCGGAAACTTCAAATCCAATATATATATATATATAATATATATATATATATATATATATATATATATATATATATATATATATATATTCTGTTAATAGTTTAATAGCACACATAGAAACTCGTTCTAACTTATA